AAGGAAGGAAGGAAGGAAGGAAGGAAGGAAGGAAGGAAGGAAGGAAGGAAGGAAGGAAGGAAGGAAGGAAGGAAGGGGCCAAAGTGGAATCACTTTTGCTGAGCCAAATTACCAAACCAAAACTCAATAACTAACCTAATTGTAGCTTCAGCCTCACCCAGGAGTGGGATTTTAAATCAATCAGTCTGGAATTTCCTGATCAACAGTAGTGAGGTAATCTATCTAATAAGACCCCAACCTTCTCCTAAGGAAAGGTGTCTTTGCCTGAAATCATCCACTCCTTTAACTTCTTAGTCCCACCCTCTTTCTGCCTGTTAACCTGCCATTTTGTACAACTCATCAGAGCACCTCCCTAGTTGCTATATGGAATGCATTCCAATTCATGAATCAATTAATAAAGCCAATTAGATCTTCACATTTACTTGGCTGAATTTTTGTTCTTTAACAATACACTTGATCTCATAAGGTGGCCTCAGACCCTACTGGGGGTCTTACGTAACGTATGGTATACACACCATAATACCTTTCTAAAGTCAGGAAGTTTCTGAATTTGGAATCACGTCTGGCTCTGCTCTGTGAGATGCCCATAGACCTATACTCCCATTAATAGTCACTCTTCAGCAAGTTATCCAACCCCCAGCCAGCTTTGACCCTAGGTCATTGGGATCGTTACCTTAGCACTACTTTCTGCCCCTAAGAATCCTTCATTCTCCTATCCACTGCCGGAGCTTGGCAGCCTCTTAGGTGTGCCTCAAAGTTCTCTTGTCCCTTGAGGGTTTGGAGACTGAAAATCCAGAAACCAATGAAGGAAAGATTACTTTAGGAGCCAAGGGAGAGAAGCTGTCCTGTTACTGAAAAGAAACTCTCCCTTTCCTTGACTAGGCCAATGATAGTCATGCAAGACCCTTGCCTATCACAGGCACAGGGAACCCCAGCCCACATCCTGGGAATTTTTAGCCTAGAGAGCAGCAACAGTGGGACAGCAGCCCTGGCACTGCCACCCTTGGCCCTGACCATGGCAGGTAATTGAGGACATCTCCACAGCCCCACATGACCACTCCCACCCTCTAAAATCCTTCTACTTTTCTCCTCCTTTCAGGGAATAGAGGGGTTGTATGAATATCATCCAATTTGGAAGGGAGGGGGGCGGGAATGGGAGTGGGAGAGAGAGGTGGCTGGTGAGAAAGACTAGTCTGTATGGTTAAAAGAGTGATGTTGGAAGATTTAAAAGATGAAGGAACGGAAGAGTCAGGCCTCCAACTGTTAGGGGACAGTGTGTCTGTGTGTGTCTGTGTGCATGAGTGATAGAGACAGATGGCTATGACACAGATATGAGTGATAAAACAGATGGGGCAAGGGGTCGAGAGTGGAGAAGAGACAGAGACAGAGAGACATGGAAAGAGATTAAGAGAGTTAAAAACAAAAAACAAAAAAACAAAAAGCTTCCAAACCTGGCAAACATTTCAGCAAGTATTTCTGAAACAGACCCAATGAACTGCTACTTTTAATAAAGGACTTCTCTGTCTAGTACAGGAAGTCCCCCAAAGCAGAAGGCTGGTACCTGTGGATGTTAAAATCAGCATCCATCATTTTAGAACAGTGTTAATTAACAAACCAACCCATGATTGTCCTGAGATCAATATCCAGTACTTAAAAAGTAAAAAAGGGAGCCTAAATTCAGCATTTATGTTTCATTAAAACCTAAAGTTTGTCTGAAGGCAGTGAGAGAGCCCCTGGAGACCACAGGGCCACATCTGTCGATCACATTCCAAGTCTGAATTCCAGGAGCAATAAGAACTGCAGGAGACTTCTCTCCAGAAAATTGCTCTGGACAAGCACTGATTATCATTTCCAAAGTGTGGTGGAGGCAAAAGGGTATCAGCAGGGTGAATGAGCCCTTCCAGGGAGGGTGACACCAGTCCTGGTTGTTATAGAAGCTGAATTGAAGAGGGTAGGCTGTGCCTTGCTGAGCCCTTAGCAGGATGATGCTGAGTAATGGGAGGGGCTTCATTATTGGTTGAATGAAAAACTAACTGGATCACTTTTCTGAGCAAGGGCCAGAGTTGTAGCCTCAGTGATCTGTGGCCAAAGCTGCCACACACAGGTGAGCCAACAGGGCCCCAGGCTCCACTGGAAGTTGAGCCAGAGAGCTGCAGCCTGAACTAGTGAAAGCATTGTTTTTGCAAGTCCCTTTCCCTCTACTTGTTACCTATGTGGCCTTGGGCAAGACACTTTACCTTTCCATGCTTTGGTTTCACTGGCTGTAAAATGGGCAAAGGTCATACGTTCCTCTTAGGGCTATGCGAGAGCTTGATACAGTGATACATGAAAAACACATAGAATAGCACCTGGCACATAATTATATGATTCATTCCTCCAGCCTGGCCAGCCTGAGGAACATTTTAATCTCCCAATACTTTCTGGGAATCTCCTTAGGCCAAATCAAGAAGCAAGGTTCCTTGGGAGGGAAATACTCAGGGGCTCAAATGGAAGAGAGACCTACACACATGGGTAGCACCATTAAACTGATGTTTCTGGCATTAGTCACTCCTAATGTCACCTCTGCCCAGGACAAGAAGCCCAGACTTATGGCAAAATGAGTCCTAACCACTGCCTGACCCTCAGCTACTTTGACACCAGCCCAGAAGGGTACATCCTCAGCAGCCCTGAGGCAGAGGGATCAAGAGCCCACTTACTATTCTTGGGGCTTTCCATTGTTATTTCAGAAGCTTCTGGAGTCTTTCAGGCAGGGCTGTGATGAATGACCCTTTCTTCTTTCCAAGACTGTCATTAAAGGCACATACCACAGGGGTCCAGTGGGGCGTGGCTTAGGGGGCAGCCAGCTGGCAATAACCAGGAGGCTCTTCAGAATCATAAAGGTGGGAAGTGGGGTGCAATGGGGAGCTATGCTTTTCTGCTTTCAAGTCTTCCTAGCACAATGAGCACAGAATTGTAGGGCCAACGGAGAACCTTGAAAATCCACTTCACAGGTTTGTCATAGATGACTTTCACATTCTCTGCTCATGACTTCCAGTTGATACTTTCCAGTGACAATGGAAGAGGTGGAGGCTGCTGTCCTGCTGCAGACTCTGCCCACCCTCCTTACAAGTGAGAGGGACAGCACACTGCCCCTGCTTTGATGGCCCATGGAGGATGCAGTATGGAGGCTCCTTTGCAGGTGATCCTGGGCTGCTGTTCAACCCAGGGCATGATATCTGCATCTAATAGGGTTTCTGATCTGAGGTACTTACCAGGTCCAGGGCCTCTTCAGTGACCTTGAAAAAACCATTTCTCATCACTCACACCCACCAAGACTGATTCCCTCTCCCAGCACATCACTAAGCTCAGAACTCTTGGTAAATATGGGAGACCGGAACAAGCAGCATATCTAATATCTACTTTCTATTTCATTGAATTTTTGCTCTCATCTATATTATTTCTTTCTATTTTTTTCTAGGTTTGATTTACTCTTTTCTAGCTTCTTCGAATGGAAGCTTAAATTACTGATTTTCAGCCTTTTCTAATATATAGATTAAGGCCTATGAAATTCCTTCTGAACACTGCTTTAGCAGCATCCTAGAAGTTTGATGTGTCACACTTTCATACTTTCTTGTTTTTAAGATCTATATTCTACTCTTTTTTAATAAAATGTTCGGACCAAGTCCTGAATTTCAGTTTAAACTATCAAGTTCACCTTACTTTATTTCCAGAACTACTTGGCTGCAGACTCTCTGTAAAAAGGTTTGAAAGAATAAAGCTCTTAGGAGTTTAGGGTTCCTAAATGCAACAGAAGAGGGTCAAAAGGAACAGTTTGATGACTCTTGCTTTTTGTTTTTGATGTACCATTTCAATTAAATAAAAATTGCAAACATGATCTCTTAAAATGAAACCAATAACTCATCTAAGCAAGGCCTTCTCGATGCCCATAGATAAGCCTTACTTTAAAACTCTTAACACAGTTAACAGAAAACCTGCCAACATTGCACATAATTAGGAGCTTAGAAATAGAAACCATCTGCATGTTGTTAATCTAGGCTTATTAAATTTATTTCATGTCACTGTGGTCATTTTTATATCTGTTTAGACTTATTTTCAATCACATTACTATTCATAGAATTCACAGAATTTGCTAGCAAACTAATATCCGAGGGTTTTCAGTAGCACAGGAACATAGAAGAGAGGCCCACGGGATGCTTTTCTGATTATTTAGAACCCGAGTCTGATTATTTAGATAGATGTCTAGAACATTATTGCTTCATTTATTATTATTTTATTATTTATTATTATTTCTGTTTTTAGAAATAATAAATTATTTCCAGGAAACCCACCCTTACAGGAGTTCTTCATACCGTGACTGTTCTAAATTCACTCATGGCATACCTGACACATAGGAGCTGATCAAACCACCACCCATGTTCTCTGCTGCTCCAAGTGCTGGGCCAAGGCAGAACACCCCTCTGCATGTGTAAATATTTTCCATAGCTCACCATTTTCCTCCCTGATCTTGCAGCTGACAGACTACATTCACATACGGGTCTTTATGTAAAACTTAAAGGAGACATAAACGAGAGGGGCTTGGTGAATGGGGACAAACAGACACCATGCAGAGGACATCTGAAGCAACAGAAATACCCCAAGTCTGTTTGTGAGAAGTGTTTTAAAGAAAGGATGTCCTCAGTGATTATGGTTCAAGGTGGCTGCTTTGCAACGTGAACTTGAAGACTTCTCAATAGATTTCAAGGCTGGGTTTTCTTATTTTGTTCCATATTAATTTCCATTTTGTGAAAAACATGTTGGAGATTTCCTTGTGGCCCCCAAAGCTCTGTGGATCTGACTGGGAATAGGGGACTGGCTTCCTCAGGGACACTGGTGCTCTGACCACTTTTGCGGCAGGATCTCTGAGAAATCGTATCCTGTCAGCATCAAATTTGGGAGATGGAAGAGGATGCGGGGTGCGGGGTGCAGAGTGCAGGCTGCAGTCAGGGCCTCAGTCCAGCTTCTTGTTGTCTGTGTTGTACACAGAAGCTAAAAAGTCGACGATGAACTTAGCTGTCTTCCTGGGTTTCTCCACCACCACTGAATGCCCACAGTTTTCCAGAAGTTCCACTTGGCAGTTGGTGATTGACTTGGCCAAAATGTCTGCCCCAGATGCACTTAACACCTGCAGAACAAGAGAGGAAATGAGATAGAAAAGATTCAGATCCTTATGTGTGTTTGGTGGATAGAACTCTACCTGCAGGGGTGGCTTTTAGGACCCAGTCACTTAAATGTTGGGGCTTGTGTCTCTCTGATAGAAGTGACTGCATGCCTCATGTTTTACTCTTCAACTTGGTGCCAAGAGTTGTGCTGCCGCCAGCATCACTGAGGTAGATAGACACAGTCTCTGCCTGTGAAAGGGTTCTGATCTGGCAGGGAAGGCAGACAGGTCAACAGACAAAAGTGCAATGTGATAAGGCAGGGATCCCCAACCCCCAGGCTGTGAACTGGTACTGGTCCACGGCCTGTTTAGGAACTGGGCCGCACAGCAGGAAGTGAGCAGTGGGCAAACTAGCAAAGCTTTGTGTGTATTTGCAGCCACTCCCTAGAGCTAGCATCATCGCCTCAGCTCCACCTCAGATCATCCAGCATTAGATTCTCATAGGAACACTGGTCCCTACTGCCAAAAAGGGTGGGGACCTCTGTGATAAGGGCTCTGATGGAGGAGGGTCCTGGGAGCTGAGGGAGCACATGGGAGTAGAATTCATAGAAGAGGGTGAGAGGCCATGGCAAGTGCAAGGGACAGCAAGTAGGTAGGTGCCAAGACACGGCACACTGGGAGCAGGGAGGGAATGGTGGAGAGCTGGGGTAGAGAGGAGGCGGCCCACTCCTCCAACCATGTTAGGGTGTCGGGCCTCAGTCTGAGGGTAGTGGAGAGCTGTGGGGATGTGTTAAGGACAGTGACATGATCAGGTTGGGCCAAAAGAATGCACCCGACAGCTGGACTAGGATGGGCCAAGCTGTGGAAAGGGCACACAGGGAAGATGCAAAAAGTGAACACTAATTACTAATTATCACAAGCTGGGGAGGAGTTCTCTCTGAAGGTCCTCTGGCGTCCCCAGACTGTGACCCCAGGCCCTTAAGTTTGTGAATAACAAGGAAAGCTTTCCCAACATGAAAGCCACCATTTTCGAGGGCTGATACTTTTCAAACAACTCATTTAAATTTCATTTTCATCTGGGTTACCTTGCTATTATGCCAATCCAACTTACTTTTTCTCCCCAACGCTCTTCTTCGGTATTGGATTTGCATTCACTCCCTTTCTCATAATCACTTTAACCTTCAACTCATCATCACTTTAACCTCCTCTCATTCTTAAAAACAAAAGCAAAACCCCAACAAACTTTGAGTGCCGTCTGTTTTTGAACTTCATCCTCATCACCTCAGATCATTAAAACCAAGATTCCACACCCATTTGGAAATGGGGAGAGCAGAATGCAGAGCACTCCTGAGGTATAAAAAGGTACAGCTAATGGGAAGCTTAGAGAGAGAGGGGCACCCTGTGGAGGAATGGGACCCCTCTGTCTTATCCTTCACTCACAGGTAAGGCAGTGGCAACTATCCGAGCAGAAATAAAGCCCAGCTACTGTGGAAAAACGCCCAGAGGAAATGTAAGTGGAGTCAACAGGTCAAAGCATGAAAAGCAGAAATTCCCAACTGAGTGTCTGTCCTACAGAGAGATCAGAAACCATAATTCTTAGGCAAAGATACCCAACTGTTTCCAGCTTTGAAACAGTTATGCTGTCAAATCCAGCACTCCCCATAGTTACCTAGAGGCATGTGAAACAGCTGAATGGGCCCTCGTGAGATACGCACATCCATGGGAACCGGATCAGCTATTTCTTTGTAAGACATTCAGATAAATGGTGAATTTTCCTCCATCTCATTTCAGGCCAGGGCCAGGACAAGGGTGAGGGAAGTGGGGTACTTGACTCTGGCACAAAAGTGAGTGCCAAAAAACTGAATAATCAAGATGAATACTATTTTAATGCAGTATTTAAAAAAAATAAATGTTAATATAAAAAGATCCATGATGAACAATATCAAAATCATAAGTAAAGACAGGATCTGACCCTGAACTTACATGACACACCTCACCCTAGTTCTAGCCCTGCCATGCATTCATTATAGCGTTAGATAGGCTGTAAGCTGTTCGAGGGAAGAATCCTGTCTATTTTGGTCCCTACTGTGTTCCCAGGGACTAGTACAGTGTCAGGCACATAGTAGGTACTCGATAAACATCTATTATCTTAAATGTATAGGCAGTCAGTTAGTGGGTTCATCACTTTGCTAGTTTGTTCACTCACTTTCTTGCTTGCTCATTCACTGTGTATTCTGGGTCTCTTGCATACCAGGCATTGTGCTGGCAGGGAGAGGGAACATAAAGAATAATACACCTGTGTATCTCCCCAAGGCCCTCCCACTCTGGTGGACTGAACATAGAGGAAATACTTGAATGGGTGTGCAGAAATGCTCTCAGGAAGGTCTGCCAGTTTCAGCTGTGCAGGCTGTATACTGCCCAAGTCCAGGGGGTTTCATTCATATAGACAACAATACACGCGGTTGCCCCTGCACAACAGCAGCTGGCCTACAGGGGTCCAAAGAAGAGGGAGACTGAAGTCAGCCTGGCAGGGGGCTGGTCTGTGACACCAAGTGTTGATGACAAAGCAGGAAAAAAGCCAGACAGCTTGGGAAGCAAAAGGCCATGAAATAAAGGGCCCCTGAAGTCTCTGCTATTTGGCCTCTGGCCTCAGGATGGTCCCCAGAATACATAAGGATCTGATCATATTTGTAGCAGGCCCATGGAATGTTAGGTTCTTTTTCCAGAACAAAATGAACTTGAGACCTGGAAGAAGTTCTGGACCTTGAGCAGAAGCCAGAAATCAAAGGCAAAGGATGTGAATAAATAATTTATTTTTGATAACTGGAGAAAGAGCACCTTCAAATATATTGTCTCACTTGAGCCTCACGATCACCCCAGTAGTAGAAGAGTGACCGAGTGACCTGATAAAGTGCAAAGGCAGGTCTGGACCCCAGACTTTCAGACTCCAAGGCCGGTGACCTCATTTCTGCAGTGTCTCTGCAGGGTGACAGATTTTCACCTCTCTCCCTCTGTTGGTCTCTGAAAGCCCAGAATCAACTTTGGGATTTTTAGAATGAAGAAAGGCCTTCATTGTTTTGACTCTGATTTCTGATTGAACCTGTTGGCCTAGCCTAGATCCTACTTTTCCACTCCAGCACATACAAAGCTTCTTTCAGAGTCTAGGCTGCTGCAGAAGGAAGCACATGAACCCTCCCTCCTCTCCATGCCCTCATCCTAATCTGTGCATGGCTGATTTAAGATAGCTGCACCCTGCTGATGCTATACACTGTGGGCACAGGTTGATTTCTTCTCCCTGGTCTCTTCTCCTGGGCCATCCCACACAGTTGTGAGCCTTTGGGGCTGTAGCCTGAATTCCTGCCTGTGCTTTTTAATCAGGAAACACAGATGGGATGTGCCACTGACCTAGGCAGGGCTCACAATGGTGGCTTTCACCTTGGGGTCCTTAGAGGAACTGTCTCAATGGGAAAAGCTCCTCTATAATATACTTTTCTTACAATTTCAACAGTAAGACTCCTGAATAGTCTTTAACAGACACTATAATTCTGTCTGCCTGTAGAGCTTGTAAAGGCTCCATTTCTCACTGCCTCCTCTTGCTTTAAACTATAGAAGAACTTTCAATAAGATACGATTTCTAAAGAATAGTTGTAAACAAAAAAGGGGCTTCTAGGAATAAATCAGTATCACTTTGAAGGGTTTATTATGGTTCATCCTCAAACTCATATGTTGTAGTCCTAACCACCAACACTTCAAAATGTGGCTTTATTTGGAAGTAGGGTCATTGCAAATGTAATGAGTTACGATGAGGTCATACTGGGGGAGCAAGGGCCCCTAATCCAGTATGACTGACATCTTTACAAAAAGGGGAAAATTAAGCAGAGACACCCAGGAACAGAGAGGAAATGCCATGTGAAGATGAAGGTAGAGATTAGGGTAAGGCATCTATAAGCCAAGGAACACCAAAGATTGTTAGCAAACCACCAGAAACTAGAGGAGAGGTGTAGAGAGCAGAATCTGAGACGGACCTATGGCCCAAGCATTGGCAAAGCCATGCTTGGCTGTGTTGCAATCTGCCAAGGGCAGAGAACCAAACAAAGAACAGATAGCTGCTTGTGGTTTAGCATAGATAACCGGGTATAGACAGGCCTTGGGAAATTATTGCTGCCAGCAAGTTTCAAGTCCTGAGAAGAAGACTCCCTCCCTCTTCGACTTCAAAAGTATATAATAAATGCACAGAGCTTGCTTCAGGGTCACTGTATCTCTATCCAAGCACAGTGTCCTCCTTGGCCTCAGCTTTTGTATATACTGTCTCTGTGTTTTTCTTAATCCTCCGTCACTCCCCCTCAGGTTAACTGTCTAGTTGTGCAGGTTGCAGCAGAGAGGCATGGAACAGACTCTCCTTCACACCTCCCAGAAGGAACTAACCGGATGACACCTTGATTCAGACTTCTAGTTTCCAGAACTGTGAGACAACTGATTTCTGTTGTTTAAGCCACTCAGTTTGTGGTACTTTGTTATGGCAGCCTTAGCAAATGAATATAGAGCCATCTGACAAAACCTATTAAAATTTAAAAATGCACATGCCCTTTTACCCAGTGATTCTACATCTATGAATTTACCCTTCAGATATACTCTCACAATTCACAAACACAGGTATAATGGTGTTCATGATGTATTGTTTAACAGAAAAAAAAAAAAAAAAAACAACTGAGAACGACCCAAATGACCATCAGAAGGGCACTAATTAAAAACATTCTGGTAGAGCCATATAATGATATACTCTGCAGCTCTTAAAAAGAATGTAAAATGTTGTTTTGGGCAAGAATCATTCATGGATGATAAATCTAGAGGGAATGTTCAATGAGGAGCAGGATATGTGCACAGTCTCAAAGTGTCTTCTTATAGACTGCTTATCAGTTGCAAGGGGTCAAATAACTCTACAATGAAGACATCAGACAACGCCCTGTTGCACATTGGAAGATGTGATATTTCTAACTCATGGCATATTTTAGCCAGGGAATATAACCTCAATTTAATCATAAGGAAGCAGCAAACTCAAATTAAGGAACATTTCATAAAATAACTGGCCTGTGCTCTTCAAATATCTCATTATCATGAATGACAAAGGTAGACTGAGGGATTGTTTCACATTAAAGGAGACTAAAGAGACATGACATGTAGTATGTGATCCTGGATTACATCTGGTTCAGGGGGAGTCCGTACAGGATGTTATCTAAACAACTGATGAATTTGGAATATGGACCGTAGATCAGATAAAAGTATCGAATCAATGTTAAATTTCCTGAATGTGATAATGTAGTGTGGTTATATGAGAAAATATTCATGGTCTCAGTAAACACATGCTGAAGTATTGGGGGTAAAGGGGCATAATGGAAGCAATCTACTCCAAACGGTCCAAAAAATATATATATATACTTATAGATAGATAAATGAGAATGATAAAGCCAATGTGGCAAATGTTAAAACACTGTGATGAATAAAATGTGGTAATATATACCACGGAATGACATTGAGCAATAAAGAGGAACTACTGATACGTGCAACAACATGCATGAACCTCAAAAACATGCTTGAGTGAAAGAAGCCAGATGCAAAAGAGTACATATTATATAATACCATTTATATAAAAATTCTAGAAAAGGTAAAACTATGGAAACAGAAAACAGATCAGTGGCTTTGAGGGGGCTGGGGTGAGGGTGCAGATGAACTGCAGATGATCAGGAGGGAACTTGCGGGAGTGACAGAAGTGTTCTACAGCTGGGTTGTGGTGGGGCGCACAACTAGGTGAATTTTATGGCATGTAAACCACACCTCAATAAAGCAGTTAAAAATTGGTGAATTTAGGTAAAGAGTATACAAGAGTACTCTGTACTATTCTTACAATTTTTCTGTAAATTCGAAATTTTTTTCAAAATAAAATATTAAAAAAATAGAATGAGTAGATCTGCATGGGCTGATATGAAATAATTTCTAAGATATATATTTCTTATAACTATGAAGGTACAAAACAGTATATATAGCATGTTTAAAAAACTTACAGATAAAATCTATTTATACCTATGTACGTATGCTTAGAACAGGAGTAGGCAAAACACTGGCCCGCTGCCTGTTTTTGTAAATAACGGTTCACTGGAACTCTGCCATGTCTGTGTCTGCATGTTGTCTACCACTGCTTTGGCGCCACAACAGCAGAATTGAGTAGCTGTGACATCAAATGGCCCCCAAAGTAGAAAATTTTACTGTCTGGCCCTTTACAGAAAACGTTTGCCAACCCTCGCCTTAGAAAATTTTAAAAATATACATGAGAGAGTAAGTGCTGCCTCAAAGAAATGGGAATTGAGATGGAATGTTTTTATTATAAATCTTTTTGTACTCTTTGAAGTTTTTTGCACCATATGACTATATGGCTTTGGTAAAAATAATTTGTAAAAATGCTTTAAAATTGCCTTTCATTTTAAAAGACCAATGTTGTTGCTCTCAGCTCACAGAATGATGTTCCCATAAACACTGACACCTGACCCAGGTGTGTTCTACCTCTTCCTGATAACAGAAACCAGCCAGTGTCACTGGCACAGGTGGCCCCAGGCACACACTACGTACCTGGTCTTGTTTCCCCCAGATGACCTGTGTTGGGACCTTGATCTTGTCCATGTTCTGATGGAGACAGTATCTTGACTCCTCTTTGATGAGTTCCAAAAGCACTTTTCAGAAAAGGAAACCAAAGTGAGTACATGCTGGGCTGTTCCTGTGGGCACCATCACACAATATGGGGACAGTCATCAAGTCCAAGCCACCACATTCTCTCTTCAGGGGCTCAAGAAAACAGACTCGGAAATGTAAGAGCTAAAAGTCAGCCACCCATGAAGCTTCACTGGTCCTTGCTCAAAGCTTAAAGCAGGGCAACTTACACTTTCGATAGAAGTTGTTGTGAGGGATGCGGACGTCAACAAGGCCTTGCAGGATCTAAGGATAAATAACCCAAAGTTAGAAGCCAAGAGAAGATTCATTTCCTCAGGCCCCTCACAGGGAAATAAAGTCCAGATAGTCACGGCATTGTCAAGGTTTTTAGGGCCTGGGCTGCTGAATTCCCGTGATATACTATACAGTATAATTGGGAATTAGGCTCCTTTGAGGCTTTTTTCTTTTTTGATTAGGAAGGAACTTGAGTGATACTGTGAGGCCATCAGTCCTCCTAGCATGTAAAAAACACTGGACAGAGACTCATAGACATGGACAATGGACTAGTGGCTACCAGAGGGTATGGGGGAGAGGTAGGGGGAAAAATTTTAAATCATTTCTTCAATTAAAAAATTTTTTTAAATTTAAAAAATAGTAAATAAACACTAGAGACGGCCAAACAGCCTCTTTATCTTGAGAAATTCTCTGTTTAGCCTAAGACACTATCAGAATGAAAATAATACCAAGTAATTGCTCAATAATATCTAAATGCAGAACAAGGTCCATTAAAAAAATTAAGCCATTGGGGATGATCGGCCTCTTCAAAAATGAAGAAATAAATGATTTGGAAAACCTGGGAAGGGTTCCAGAATCCTTTGTTTACTACTTGACCTTGTATTTGCCTTCCCTGCTGAGGGCTGTGAAGGCTGCAGCAACTGTGGGCAGGCCAGATCTCTTGGACCTGAACACCGACCTGGGGGAGTGGGGGGTGCTGTGGCCAGAAGGAATACAGCCTTCTACTTTTTTCTGCCTCAGGGTTCTTGAGTTAGAGTCCTGGGTTCACATTAGCAGTTGTCACTCTTCTCATCTACCCCGGAACAGTCTGAACCTCTTAAAGGCACTCTCAGGAGTCCTGTGTATAGATTGAGGTGGGAATATCCAGCCATAACTGCTTTGGACTAAACCAACCTTCTGGAGCATGACTAGAATATGACCATACAAGAAGTGGAAGTCCAAAGGAAGGCCAATGGTAAGTTGTCCAACACACTGTGCTCAGATATTCTCTTTGTTCTACTATCTATTCTGTACCCATGCCTAATATCCATATTGCATCCATCCATCTATGCTCAATCCACATATCTGCCCATCCATCCTGCATCTCTGAATCATATATGCACATGTCTACCCACATATCCATCTATCATACATCCACAAATCTATCTACTCCCCATCCCTGCATTCTCCAGGCACTCTCCCATCCAGCCAACGACATATCCTGCATCCCTAAATCAACGATGTATGCACATGCACCATTTTCATGCATCCATCTATCCTGCATCTATCCATCGATCCATTCTCCATCCCTGCATTATCCAAGTAGCCTCGGGTCTACTGATCCACCCAATCTATACCTACGACCTACTTCATACAAACACTGTGCCACAGGTGGAGACAGGACAGCCAATTAAGACAAAGTCCCTGATTTTACAGAGGTTAGAATGGAAGGCAGAAACAACTAGACCATTGTAACACAATGGGCTGGGTGCTTAGGTGCTTCTTCTCTCCTAGGAAGGAAAGACTTTTGGAGCTGCCATTTATTTTCTCCTGGTGTTTTCATATCCCAGACAACTCGAAATTCTGGAATTTTCTAAAATGTTGTTAGGAGACTCTATTTTGGGAAGTGATCAGTGCTAGGAGGAGATCAGTGCAACTTCATAACTAAAAAGACGATTTGAGAGAGAAAATAGACCACAGAATCAGGGGCAGGCCATTCCTATTAACTGAGTCATATTCACAACCTCTGAATAGAGCCTGGAAGGACCTGCCCCATCCTGAGGCGGGGTCCAGCTCCTACAGTAGAGGGAGATAATTCTACAGTAGTGGGAGATAATTTGCTGATACAAAGCCTCAGCCATGGAGTCTCCTCTCTTGGTCTTTCACTCTTTCTCTAGATGACCTCATGCAGACCCATGACCTTCAATATAATCATTGGCTGATGGCTCTAATTATATAGCTCCAGACTGGGCTTCCCACAGCAAGATTTGTATATCCAACTGCCTACTTGACATCTGCACTTGGAGGCCTCACAGGCAACTTGAACTTAACACATCCAAAATGGAGATTTTAGCTTGTCCCCTAAATCCACCCTCCCTCTCCTTCTCCTATAGAAAATGCTAACTTTATCTAACTCAAGTACCAGAAGCCACCTGTGACTCCTCATCTTCCCTCATCCTTCACTTCCAATTTGCCAGTTAAGCCCCATTCATTCTTCCTCCCAAAGCCTTTCAGATCACTGTCTCCACTGCTACCACCCTAGTCTATACCACCATCATCTCCAAGCCATAACAGCACCATAATGGGTTTCCTTGCTTCTGTTTATACTCCCCTGCAATCCTTCAGGGGTCCTCCCATTGTACTTAGGAAAACCCCAGACTCCTTCCCATAACCCGTAAGGTCCTACATGATCTAGCCTAGTGGTTCTCAAAGTGGATCTTGGGAGTCCATGAGGTCAGACCATTTTCATAGTAATACTAAATGTTACTTGCCTTTTTTCACTTTTATTCTTTCAAAAGCATACAGGTTTTTCAGACCCTATATAATGAGGGATAATGTCATCACTCCGATGGCTAATGAAATGAGTGCTTGTATATTCTTGTGTTTTAAGTTTTTCGGACTTTTAATTTCTAATGTGGTAAATATCAATAATTATAACACCCACAAATAAAAGCTCCTTGGGGGTTCTCAATAATTTTTCAGAGCGTAAAGTGGTCCTGAGATTTTTTTTAAAAAATTGAGAATCTCCGATTTAGTCCCTGCCTCCCCTTCCAACCTCATCTCAATCCATCTTTTCCCTCAGTCACCCTGGCCTCCTTCCACCATCTTGAACTTGCCTGTTTTTTTCTACCTCTGTACATGCCATTCCCTCAAAAAGGCTTATCAAATCTTCTGCTGCCTCCCTGTTTTTATTAACTGCTCCATCTTCATTTCCTCTAGAAAACTTATTACAATTTGTATTTGTTTACTTGTTAATTGTCTGTCTCCCCACTAGCTTATGTCTGCCCAAAGACCTTTTCTGTCTTATTTCTTCATTACTGTACCCAAGCACAGTGCCTGATGTGTCACAGGCATCATATAGGTACTTGTTGAAGGAATAAACAGATGAGTACTAAAAGAGGGAATGAATGAAAGCAGCTGGTACTGGCCACCTGAGCCTCTGGCAGAAGGCAGTCATATTGCTGCTGAGATTACATTACCTGCTGGGGCACCTTAAGGCGGACGTAGGAGAAGAACTGAAGCATTTCACTCATCTCCTCTGCAGTGGATGGGATCAAGTGGGACTTCTCTATGGTATCCAAGTTCTGTGTTCCTTCGAGCTGTAGTAGGTCTGGTGTTTCCATTGTGTATTGCAGGCCTGTGGGATTCAAATCAAAGCAGCTTGGTGATATTTCTACCATCTTACCAACCCCCATTCTATACAGGAACTTCTAGCATCAGCCCAGAGCTAATACGTTTCAGGTATTTTCACCAAATTCCTTTTTAATTGGTACTGTCATCCTTGCTCAAAGTCAAAACCACACTCTGAAGAGAAATGTAGAAAAACAATCCTTCCAGATATTTTAGGGACTGGTGACTCAAACTGTAGTCTATGGACCAGCAGCACTGGGAGCCCATAAGAAATAAAGCCCCTCTCTAAGTCTCAGAATCTTTAACAAGTTGGGAGATTTATCTGTATGATATAGTTTAAGAAGCATTAGTCTAGAAGGCAACTTGCCTGAGCCCCTTTCACATCTGCATTATTGAGAGGAGATCTGACAAAATGTGTAGTGGGAAGAAAACACAGGACTTGGGGGACTGACTCCCTCCCCATGGCCTGAACCCACTTAGTGATCTCTTATTGAGGTCAATGCACAAAACTCAGTGAGAACAAGTCCCCTTCTGAGCTGTCCCCATGTTGGGGCAGTAGCTGCCCTCTACGCAGTCCCTCTTCCTCCAGGAGAACATTAGGCAACCAGAAAGCTTTGAGAATGACCATTATTTCCTGCACCCTGGAGCATGGCATGAGAGAGTTCAGTTCACATAGCTGGTGTACATAGGAGGGCAAAACTAATTGTCACTTCTGACACTAAGCAAATTTCCAGGTGTTTAACTTAAGTTGAAGAACTAGATTTTAGAAAGAAAGGCAGTGGCATCAATACTATGCTGCAGATACCACACTTTACATATCACCTATATTCAGCAACTCCTTTAAATCTAACATGGGTATCGTGTAGCTTTCATAATGTCATGAAGGTAGATCACATGATCCATTGCCTTTCACTTTAAAAACAATCTTACACTAAATGTCGTGTAGTCTCCTCAGTTGGATCCTGGACTAGGAAAAGGATATTAGTGGAAAAACTAATGAAATCTAAATAAAGCCTGGAGTTTAGTTAATAGTAATGTACCAATATTGGTTTCCTAGTTGACAAATTTGCTTTTGGTAGTGTAAGCTGTTAACAATGGGGGAAACTGGATGAAGGGTATATGAGACTCTGTACAGTTTTCGCAACGTTTCTGTAAATTTAAAATTATTTCAAAGTAAAAAGGTTTACTGTTTCATTTTTACATAGAAACAAACTTAATTTTAAATTCCAATCGAAACTCAGGTGTAAAACTCTCTGAGCAAATGAACATACACTAGAAAAAGCTAGTTAGATCTGACCTTCCATCAGCGATCTATAATCTAATAACCTTCCACAGGAGCTGTTTCTTCAATTCCCAGATTTTATTATTAAAAGGCCAAATGACTTCAGACATGGTGCTTGGGAAGAGGAGAAGAGAAAGACCATTGGGAGCTTGACTTCAATTTCAATGTCCTTAACAGACCTGAAAACTATCAACTTTCAGAGTGACTTAAAAGATTATAAAGGTCAGTTTAGTCACATTTCAGTAGAAGTCGTATGTGTTTAACTCATGGCTGGGTTCTAGTGGACAAAAGAGATACTTAGTGGATATGAGTCATATAAAGGAGGTAGTGAAAATGAAAGTACCTCCAAAAAAGCCACAGGTGGGGTTCTGAAGCCTGACAGCTCAAGATTGGTCCCTATCCTGGCTCTGGCACTTATGTAATTTCTTTGTGCTTCCTACCTAGAAAATGTTCCTACCTAGAAAATAAACATACTATTTTGATCTGACTAGCAATTATGTATGTAAAAAGTCCTTGAGAGGTACAGTTAAAATTTGGGCAATTCACTATGTGTAAAATCATACTCCAATGAAGTACCAGAGAAAGAGAAAGAGGGAACAAAAGAAGGAAAAAGAGAGAAAAATTAAGATTTTTTTTTCTAACGTATTATAAACCCAAGTTTAAAGACTTATATAAGAAAAATGAATTTGAAAAATCCAACTTCAGATTATAATTTCTGGGGACATGTTACAGCTCAAGTTGACACGTACACAAATAAGAATAGATAAACTAAAATTTGTCAATTTTTTAAAAAGATCTTGTAATGAATAAAGATCTTTGAATTTTCAGCAAAAAAGAGGAGAGGCATAATAATAGTACCTTCACCTCATAAGGTTAAGGTGACAATTAAATCCATATAAAAAGCTTAGCTTAAAAGAACTCGATTAAATGTTGGCTATTAATATTATCATTATACTTCAAAGTATTCATGTGCTGCAAAGTACTATACACATTTTAATTAACTACCAAATTCTTTGTGGAACAAAGGTTGGCTCTATAATTTAAAAGTCGGTGTGGTTATGATTATGGTTAGATAATTCTTGTTAGGTTAGTTATCACTAAAACATTGCCTATCTCTAAAGTTTACATCAAAAGATAATTTTTAAAAAATAGTCATAGCAGACACTGCCAGTTGTTCCTTCAGAGATTGAGACCCTACTGTGCTCAAGTCAGTCATGGATATACTTTAGCCTGGTCACTCACCAAAGGGGCACACAAGGGTCAGACTGCCAATATCTGACGGGTAGTAAGCAGCATACACCCCAGCCACAGCGCCGCCCATAGAGGAGCCTATCAAGTGGAATGGTTTTTTGTTCAGCTTGAGGCATTCTACAAACTGGGAAGGAAAATGAGAAGAAGGCTTAGTTATATAGCTGTAGACAGTGACAACAGTGATTACAGAGTAAAAAAACCTCTATTGTCTATGGGGACAAATGAAAAGGCCTACTGATGAAAGGGGTTTGAAACTCTACTGGATCCATTTTCCAGGTAAGCACTGTGGCAGGCATGTATTTATCTTTACCTGGCACAAATGATTGAAGGGCCATTTACAAGTATAAAACCAACACGGTTTTCCCTAATTCATGAGTCAACGAATGTTTCTATAAAGGTCCTGAGAGTAAATATTTTCTGCTTTGTGGGCTATATGATCTCAGTTGCAACTACTCAACTCTATTGCAACTATTCAGTCGCAAATATTCAACTCAACTCAACTTAACTACTCAACTCTAATGAATGAGTATGGCTGTGTTCCAATAAAACTTAGCTTACAAAAGTAGGCAGCAAGCCAAATATAGCCTATGTGCCATGGTTTACTGACTCTTACCCTAATTTGAAGCCCTTCTCATCCATCCAACCATCTACTCATATAACTACCCATTCATCTATCTGTCTGTTCAACCATTCAACCATTCATCCAACCAACCATCTGCCTATTTAAAAATATTAATTAAATATCTGTTATGTACAAGGAGCTATGGTCAACTACTGAAGATACAGCAAAGAGCCAAAGAGACAAGGTTCCTGACCTCATTAAAATACAAAGTTTAACTGGAGGAGTCAGACATTAAATAAATATCCTTATCTGGGGAAAATATCTAATGCCAATTTGAAATGTAAGGACTACTAAATTCTGAAATTGTCTATGAGCCCTATGACCTTGAAATCCCAGCCAGAGAGGGGCTGAAGATAGATGCTGAAATAGAGTAAAATGCAAAGAGCACTCTCTCCGTCCATAACTAGGCAGAAGGGCTATTGCTGTCATATAACTGGTAAGCAGAAAAATAGATTCTAGGGAAATGGTCCTGAGGAATACTAAACTCCTTTTTCCAAAGAGCTGAGAAAATGCCCAGATGGTCATATTTCTTCACAAACAACTTCAATAGGCTTAGAGAAAAACAGTCTGCAATAAGCCCTGGCCTTCTGTGGCTAACCAAGGATACCTCTAGGGTGCCATTTTGTTTGCAATTACTTGACAGAATGCATTGAGACTGATTATGAGTCAGTATGGAGAACTCTCCTGCCTGCTCTCCAGTCCTGGGCATGCAATGGTGGGCAAATCCAGTCTGGGAAATTTCTGGGGGAGCCTCATGCTTACCTGGTGTATCCTCTTAACTTGCCCTTCTATGGACAGGTCATCCAGGGGAGAACGGGTAGTACCCTCATGTCCTGGCATGTCTACGCAGACCAAGTGCAGGTTCTTTGGAAGAAACTGAGGACACACAAGCCCAGAGAGTCAGTATGTGTTATGCAGAACATGTCTGCCCACTTTTCTGGGGAAGTTGCACTCACTTAGGAAGTGACCTGGATAGCCATCCCTGGGGATGTATGAGTCTAGGCCATCCAGAGTTTTACTCTAGTAACCTCTGATGTGAATAAGCATTGCCAGTAGCCTCATAGGGAGCAGAGGGCCCCAAAGACTAATACACAGGAAGGAGGGGACTAGGAGGATGACTGGAAGAGGGACAAAGGTCAGGGGAGGAAGCTTACACCTTTCACTCTTTCTTGACACCATTTGGCAGGTATTACCTCCTTCTCCTTTCCCTCACTTTTTCTACACTTACTCCAGTCATCCAGCCACTGACTTGGAACTAGAGGGAATAGTTCTGTCCTCCCAGAGCCCTGGCCAGCTCCAGAACCCACAGGAGCAAGGCTTTCTGTAAGAACAATGTCTAATCACCCTAATTCTGCTTTTGACTTTCTTTTCTTTGCCTTTCCTTTTTTTGCATTAAGGTGTAATTCTTAGGGTGGTTATTATCTTAAAACATCTTCTTCCATTTAAATAAGTGCCGCTTTTAACCAGGAAACAGAAACGTCGTTATCAATAGACAAATACCCAGCTATATGAAAGATGCTCCTCTGAGAGGGGACAGGATGTGAGAGGTACATTACAGCATGAGAATTCCTTTCCTCACAGTGGAATTTGGAAATAAAAACACAAGTAACTAGAGGTTGTGTGGGCCTTTTCCTCCTGGTGTAGATCACACTTGAGATCATTCTGGTATAGTCCTACTTAAAGTGAGAGCCTGGAGTGCTTCTCCCCTAAGACCTCTCCCAGCCCCAACCTTCACCAGCTGGTCACTCTTACTAAGTAAAGTTGCCACACCCAAGTAAACCAGAACAAAAACTGAGTGATTTGGAAAACTATCCCAGATAGCTGCCAAATCAAAACTGTTTCTCTAAATGGCTAGGGAGAAAAAAAGAAGAAGAAGAAAAAGAAAAGGCAAAAACAGGAAAAAGAAGGGAAGGAGGGGTCAGGCGAGAAGAAGAAGGAAACAAAAGGGAAGAGAAGGAAGAGAAGAAACTTGGAGCATAAAAGAACAAATGATTTTTTAAAAGCCTGATCTTGATGACAGTTCTGAGATAAAGCTGAGTGTCAGACAATTTTCCTAAGAAATATTCATAAGGCGAAATGATTTCTAAGGCACAGATTTTACCAATAACATTCAACTCAATAAATTTTTGCCTGATAAAAATGATTTGAATAATATATTACATTAGTTTTAAGTGATTTGAGCCACAGTTCTGGATTCCCTTGGCTGTCTACAATTGCTGATGACAATATGTCCAAGTGGAAACCCTCTTCTTTACTGAATGACACTTTCTTGAGAGAGGGGGATCTAAAATTGCACCTTGACGATGCTGAGCCATACATCCTTATGTGCAGAGAACCCATGGAGCATGAGGATGGAAGGTTTGTGCCCAGGCCTACCACGGAAGGAATAACAGAACTGATAGTCTTCATGGCGAGCAGAGCGAACCTGCATGCCCAATGCCCTCCTCCAGTACCTGACAAGGAAAAACACAGGAAAAAAACAAAATCAGCAAGCTCCAGAGAAGTGGTTTGGGGAGGGGCACAGACATATAAATATTCTGGTATATATGTTACTACATAATCTAACCAGGAAAGGAGAAAGGAGTGTTTTCTTAAGGAGCATGGCATGTAATGACCTTTTGTGAATACATATTTCTAGCAGTTTGAATGGCTCTGCAAAGCAGGAGTAAGCAGGTGGTTGGATCTCACTGGGTGTCCGACTAGCCCTTTCTCTGCCTTGATTTTTTTGTGCTTCGGCAGAATTCGAAACAGCTGGTGGTAGGGCTGGGAAGGACTCCAGAAGGCCTAGACAAAGGTGGTTTCCTCCCTCAGAGAGTTGGCTTGCAGTGCCTGGTGGGCCATGTTGATTGACACCTGAAATCTAGGACGAGCAGCCATGAAGGTGTGGGCAGGAGTGTGGCCGTGTATAGCACAGCCATCCTGGAGTGAGTACCTCCCAACAGAGGTACTTTAATTGGCAGCAAAAGCATCAAAAAACTGAAAGGTGAAGCTTATTACCCTTCGTCACTTGCAGTTTGCTATTTGCAGAGATGAAGAATTTGATTCTCTCATCAAGGCTGCAATTGTTGGTGCCGGTGTCACTTCACACACCCACAAATCTCTGATAGGGAAAAGACACCAGAAGACTGTCTAGAATGCCTGCATCCCTTATGATCTCAGGATTCTAAATACTCTAATAGCTGTCCAGCTTGGGAGATTCCAGTGGACCTGATTGCTATAAAAAAAATACAATTTTACCTATTTATAAATCTATTTGAGTAAGCTGGAGGTTTAATTAACTTTCTAACCAACCAAATTTCTGCATTTCAGTCTTAACCATATTTAGGTCTTACTCTAGCTTTAAAGAATATATTGATTCTGAAATAGTGGATTTGATAGAGTTGATTAATTTTTTAAAAACCGTTAGGATTTTAATTGTGGTGTAGAAGGTATGATAACAAACGTTTGGTTTTGTGCAGACATTATTTCCATATTTCCACTTCAGCAGATAAGCTCAATAAAGGTCATATCCCAGTCCTCCCCCCAAAATATTTATATTTTTCTTCCTAGAGATTTTGAAAGGGAAAACTTTCTTAAGAACTATCTACATTGGTCCCCTGCTTTTTATTCCTCACAACATATGGCGACTGGTTGAAGGCTCAGCTGCTGTTGGTTACATAAGATTTGGCAATGCTGGAGTTTGGCCTGAAATCGATTTCAATACGAAATTACCATCTGAACAACGTGAACTCTCTACATGAAGAATCTCTTCAAGATGCAAGGCAACTAATTCAATCAAAGATTAACTTTGTGGCTAATTTGCGTCAAAGAGATAACCAAGTATTGCAAAAGCAAATAGCCTAAATTGACTGGTTTTAACCCTTTATGTAAAACAATGGGAGGAGAGAGGAGGATGTATATTTATATTTATATGGATCTGCACACAAAAAGCATGGGAGCATATATGAGATACCATTAAGATGAGTATCTGGAGCAGAAGTGGTAATACAGCGAGGAATAGGTGGAGCGGGAATAGTAGTGATAGGGAGACTTATCATGTTCCTTTTAGTGCTTTCCCAATGAATATATTGCCTATCCAAAACATTAAAAATACAATAAAATTGGCTAGCTTAAAGCTCTTCTTATGACAAAGCAATAATATTTCAAAATTCTAAATAGTGCACCGTAACATACATTTGTTCATTCGTTCATATCCTAGTTCATTCATTTACTGACTATATGATCTTGAACCTCAATTTTCTCATCTACGATATGGGGAAATATTGTAGTCTATTGAAGATATGGTAAAGATTAAATGAGATAATCCATATACAAAGTTTTGTTCAACACCCAGCATATGACAAGTATTCAATAAATGGTAGTTATTAGTATTATATTTAAAAAATTCTATCCTTCAAAATATATCACTTGCCAATTCAAGGGAAAACTGGGGGAAAAACTGCAACAAACTGGGGGGGGAAACTGGGGGAAAAACTGACAGGCACAGATTGACAAAATGATAAGAACCATGCTAAGACCCCAGTTCAATAATGGGCAAAATAAATGAAAAGATTTACTCAGAGTAGAAGAGATAGTAATGATTAACAAACATAGGAAACATGTTCAACTTCACTAACAAAGAAATGAGTATCACAAGAAGATATACCTTTTTAATAAACTTCTAAACTAGAAAAAAAATGCCCTTAAAAAAACAATGATAATATTTGACCTTTCTAGAAAGCAGTCTGGAATTAAACATCTGTAGTCTTTTAAAAACCTCATGTCTTTTGACCCAGTAGTTATACTTCCAGAAATAATCTGTCCCAAGAAAATAATCAGAAATCTTGGGGGAAAAAGTGTTTCTAAGGATGTTCAAGACAAGGTTATTTAAATTATATTTTAAAAACCAACATTAACCTAATGTCCACAAATAGAAAACGTATTCCATAAATTACAACGTATACAATGTAATATTTTACTGTTATTAAAAATTATATCTTCAAAGAACAGGTAATAACAGGAAAATTATAAACATTTTCCAATTAAAATATTAGAACTTAATATTTTAATACCATTGATTTCAATTCTGTTAAAAAATTTTAAAACTATGTACAGACGAGATGGAGAAAGAGAGGTAGTGAGAACAAAAAAGACATTGAAGAAAATTATTTGAGGGGTTATGAGTAATTTATATTTTCTCTGTGTTACCTTTTTATAATCTTCGAATTCTCTACAGCTCCAACACAAAGTACAGTATGAGATCAAGGAAGAGCTAGAAGGACCTTATAAAAAAGGTGAGATTTGCATAGGCGACTGGATGCTTAAGAACTATTAGCTGGAGAGAATGCAGAAAGGTATGCCATGAGGTGGGCACAGCAAAGGCAAGGGCATGGAGGATAACCAAGCATGACCTGAACCCAGAGTGAAGGGAGATAGGCTCGGAGAGGCAGCCTGAGTGCCAGGCTCAGGAATTGAGGGCTTCTTCATTACCAGATGGAGCTCTTTGGTACTAACCCACGTTTTTCATTTAATTGGTACATCCAATGAAAAACTTTACCAGGCTTTGGAGACAAGGAGCTGGAGGACCAATATTTTCAGTGATTTCTAATGATCCTCTCAATGAAAGAGTAGGAACAAGACTCCTTAAGCTACCAGGTCAGTTAAAAAATTATGAAAGACCAATGGCCTAGATGCAAAACAAAACAAAATGACAACTTTGGTTTAAGAATAATAAAGAATAAATTACCTCTAAATAATAAACATCACAAAGGCAGAGATTAGAAATAGCTGCAAGCTTACAGAATAGAAACAAAGAAAAGAATTAAGTTGGGATGAATGAATATCTCAGGAGAAAGATCTTTTACAGCAGTGGTCCCCAACCTTTTTGGCACCAGGGATCGGTACTCTTATGAAAATCTAATACCTGATGATCTGAGGTAGAGCTGAGGTGGTGATGCCGGTGCTGGGGGCTGCAAATACAGATGAAGTTTTGCTTGCTGGCTCGCAGCTCACCTCTGGCTGTACGGCCCGTTTCCTAACAGGCCACAGACCAGTACTAGGGGGTAGGGGACCGTTGTTTTACAAACAATCTTGGCACGAAAGCTGAACAGCTCGTGTGTCAGAGACAGACACCATTGAAGCCCCAAAAAGCAGCCTCCATGGGATTTCTCTTTGAGAAAGGCCCCCAGGGTCTAGAACCTTTATTTTACAAGTGTTGCCTTTGCTAGTTTACAGGAACTTCGGAAGAAAAGTGCTTATACATTTCTTTTTTTTCCCCTGTGGTAAAATACTGATAACATAAAATTTACCAATTTAACCATTTTAACTGTACAATTCAGTGGAATTCAGTACATTCACAAAGTTATACATCAACCATCACCACTATTCATTTCTAGAACTTTTCATCATCCCAAACAGAAATTCTGTATCCTTTAAACAAAAACTCCACAATCCTTCCCTTCCTTAGCCCCTGGTAATCTCTATTCTATTTCCTGTTTCTATGAGTTTGCCTAGGCTAGGTACCTCGTATAAGTAGAATCATACAGTATTTGTCATTTTGTGTCTGGCCTATTTCACTTAGCACAATGTTTTCAAGTGGATGCATATTTTGAGTGTTATCAGTAGTTTATACCTTTGTAAGGCTAAATAATATCCCATTGTATGGATATGGCACATTTGTTTATCCATTTATCAGTTGATAGACATGGGTCATTTCTATTTTTTGGCTATTGTGAATAATGCCCCTATGAACATTCACATATAAGTTTTTAGATGGACGTATGTTCTCAAGTCCACCTGGAACCCATGAATGTGACCTTATTTGGAAATACGGTCTTTGCAGATGTAATCAAGTTAAGTTGAGATCATACTATATTAGGGTCAGCCCAAATCCAATATGACTGGTGTCCTTGTAAGAAGAGTGAAATTAAGACACAGAACACAGAAGAGGAAGAATACCACGTGAAGAGAGAGGCAGAAACTAGAGTGACTCAACTACAAGTCAAGGAAGGCTAAGGATCACTGTCAATCACCAGAAGGTAGGGGAAGAGGCATTGAACAGAGTCCCCCTCAGAGCCTCCAGAAGGAACCAACCTTGCCGAAGCCTTGATTTAAGAATCAATTTCTATTGTTTTAAGTCACCCAGTTTGTGGTAGTTTTTACAGCAGTCACAAGAAGTTAATACAACATCCTTGCCAATATTTGGAATTATCTGTCAGTCTTTTTCATTTTAGTCATTCTGTTGAGTCTATAATGACATCTCCTTGTGGTTTTAATTTGAATTTCCCTTATGGGCAATGAAGTTGAGCACTATTTCATGTTTATTGGCCATCTGGATAACCTCTGTTATGAAGTTTTTCTGTTTTCTTCTAAAAGCTTTGTCATTTCACCTTTCACATTTAGATCTACAATCCATCTGGATTTGATTTTTGTGTGTGGTGTGAGGTTGTAGATCAGGCTGTATTCTTTCCTTTTCTTTTCTGTTGCTTAATTACAAATAACCACAAGCTTAGCTTAAAACAACACCCATTTATTAGCTCACAGTTCTGGCAGTCAGACATAAGCTCAGCTGGGTTCTCTACTTAGGGTATCACAAGGCTGAAATCAAGGCATCAGTTGGCTATCTAGATGCTCTGGGAAAGAATCAGCTTCTAAGTCCATTCAGGTTGTTAGCAGAGGTCATTTACCATAGTCCTATTACTTGTGTTATAGGACTAAGGTCTCTGGTTGTCAGCCAGGGGCTCTCTGCTTCTCACGTGGCCTTCTCCAACTTCAAACTAGCAACAGCAGTGAGTCCTTCTAGTGCTTGGAATCCCTCCACTTTTAAGGGCTAATTGATTAGACCACGCCTACTTGGATAATCTTCCTGTGTTTTGGTCAACGTTATACAATGTAACATAACCAGGAGAGTGATAGTTCCCTATATTCACAGGTTCTGGGGATTAGAGAGGTAAATCTCTGAGGCTATTTTAGTAATTCTGCCTACTGAAGGGGTCAAGGTTAACTTTTTTCCAGATAAATACCTAGCTGACTCGGTCCCCTTTCTCTGCTGCAAAGCAGTGTTACCTTTATCATAATTCAAGAGACTGTATCTATGTGCATCTGTTACTGGACTCTTCTGTTACACTGATTTGTCTTTCTTTGTGCCAATTTCACTCTGTCTTAATTTACAGTTGCTTAATTAGTCTTGATAGCTGGTAATGTAAATCATCTAGTATTGCTCTCTTTCAAGATTGTCTTGCTTAATTAGCTCTTTGCTTATAAATTTAAGAATAACTTTATTAAATTCTATCAAAAAATTCTGCTAGTATTTTAAATGAGTGTACATTGACTCACTAGATCATTGCAGGGAAATCTGACTTCCTTATGACAGAAAGTCTTCCAACTCACAAATATTATCTATCCCTCATTAATTTAGGTCTTTCAAAATTTCTCTAATACTTTGCAGTTTTTTGTATAGAGGCCTTCAACACTGTTCTTTAGATTTATTCTTAGGTATCTTACATTTGTTGATACTATGGTAAATGATATGATTAATTTTTTCATCTTCTATTTGTTGCTGTTATATAGGAATATTAACTGATTTTTGTTTACTCACCTTGTACTTAGCAGTCTTGTCAAATTCACTTATCAATTCTAACAAATTGTCTACAGATTCTTTTGGACTGTCTACGTACCAATCATGTCATCTGAAAACAGTGTCAGTTTCATTTCTTCTTTTCCAATTCTTACCCCCTTTTCTCTCTTATACATATGATTTTCTCTCTTATACATCTTGTTTTCACAACTGAGTTTCTTTGGGAAAACTAAAATCTTTAAAAACCTCAGTCTTTTTCATCTTAAGAATAGTCTTGCTATTTTACACAATGAAAATCAGAGCTACCCCTGATGTTATCCCCAGTGGCCACGACATCTCCAGTTGTGGCTCTGCTGACTGACAGTGAAGCATTTGGCGCCTCGTGCAGAAACAATCATAGGCCCCCCATCACTGTGGAAACGAGTTGGCCATGATCCAGGGATACTTAGACCTAGTGATTGCTGCTCTGAAGACTAGCTGTGGCCTACCAGGGTTGCCTATTCCTGTTCCCTGAGGAGCCCAGAGGGAAGTCCAGGAGGGTGCATGATGTAATGATTTCACAACATCCCTATGCTCATATTGCAGGAAGGAGGGGTGGGGGTTTGGGGTACCCGGCTACCTCTAATACCTGTCGTCCCTGTTCACGTAGCAATCTTAAAAATTAACCTGACCAACCCAGGTCTGCAGGGTGGTCATTATGAGCAGCTGAGGAAATTAAGGCCTTCGGAGTAGCTACGGTTAAGGGACATAGTAACTTATAGCAAAGCTGCTCATCCTATGACAACCACTGTATAAATGTCACTTGCAATGAGGTGATGGGAAGGAAATGGGCAGTGCGTTTTGGTGGAGTTTGGGAAGCCACTCACAGGATTTCTGACAGCTCTCTGCAATGGCATCATGGGTTCTATTACTATAATCACAGTTTCCCATATGACAATGCCACCTGGCATGATCTGAAAGGTTTTCTAGGATTTTCATTCTCCCCAACTAGCTGGGTTTCTTCTTGGCCTGCATGCTTGAGTTCACAAAATAAAGAGCATTGTGTTTGTCCTCTGCCACAGCTCTGAGCTGAGTGACAGGCATGGGCAGGCCTTAAGATCACATGCTCCTATACTGACAATAAGGGACTGAATGCTCTGCTCTGTGGGGCCTCTCTGGTTTGGGGTAGTATTAATGGTGAATAAAAATGAATTACTTGCTATGTAGCATTCCATATAATAGCCCCAAATGGAAACAATATAAATGTCCATTTGGATAAATAAAATGCAGTTTAACTATATATTCATTATTCAGCCACAACAACGAACAAAGTACTGATAAATAGTACAACATGGATGAACTCTGAAAAGATGCTAAGTGAAAGAAGCTAGACACAAAAGGCCACAAATTGTATGATCTCATTTATATGAAATGTCCCCAAGAGGCAGATCTAAAGACATAGAATATAGTTACTAGTTGCCAGCAGATGAAAGGGGAGGAAAACTGGAAATGACTGCTAATGGGTATGGGGGTTCCTTTGGGGAGATGGAAATGTTCTGGAATTAGATGATGGTGATGGTTGTACAACACTGTGAATATAGTAAAAATACTGAATTGTACACTCTAAAATGATGAATTTTATGTTATGTGAATTTTAATGCAATAAAAAAGTGAATTATTTACTATGAAGTTATTTTTCTCTTTAAAGACCAAATATTAAAATTATTCTGAAACTCTGACTCTGAAAGCCTTCTCCTGACAGCCCAAGAAACCCAGGGGTTGTAGTGTGGAGGCTGGTTTCTGCACGGAGGGGATGGAATGAGCCTTCATATAATCACGCCTCTGTAGGCAGCCATATCCATGGTTACCAGCCACACCACTGGAATGCGTTCTCTGCTTCAGGTTGACTTGTTTAAGGAAAATGGCATGTGTGTGTAGAGGTCCGTGCCTCTGCAGGGATACAAGGGGCACACAACTCCGTCCTCTCCACGTCAGGCTACACAGGAGACTTGGCCCCAAAGTACACCTGCCGGCAGTGCTGCAAGGACAATGGCATTTAAACAGCTGGAGGCTCAGCTTCTGTCAATGCAGAGGTGGGTCCTAGGTGAGCCTCTGAAGGGGTCCCTACCTCCCAAGAGCCAGTGAGAGAGTGAAAGAAGAAAACCTCCTTTCTGTTCAATTAGCTTCTTTTCAAGGATCAGAGTCTGGTTGGCAGGTGGAAAATTCCACACTCTAAGAAACAAAAGGGAGCCAGAAAGGAGGGCAGATAAAGGGCACAGGTACAACCTTCCTGCATTCTTCTCTCGGTACACTAGAGGTAGTTCTAACTTGCACAAAGTCCCAGTTAAATCTCAGTGTGCTTCCCTATGGCACAAGGATAAATTAGATCTAATTTGGTATTTCCTTCACCATGGGGGTGGGAAGGGTGATTTTATTTGGTAAATGGACTGTGGCATAAAAAGTCACTGATACCATCACAAGAAAGCTACTCTTCTTTTCAAATGTTAACTTTCTGATTTCATCAAGGAGAAAGGCTCTGTTTAGGGCTGCTACATCTTTCACAACTCTCTTAGACTTTGTAACATAGAGAAAGGAAACACAGAGTCTTTGGCAGGTAGCAGTATTTCTAGGCTAGAATTTAAGAACACTGTTTAATGGTAGTTGCTTATTTTTACTTTCTTATGTTAATTTACTACTTATGGCAAGTATGACAAGCTTTTCACTTAAGGTAATGATATTTATATTACTCTTAAAATAAATTGATTTAAGCTATAAAAAAAACTGACTTACTCTAAAGAAAATACAGAAGTAGAGGTAATATACAGGTGGTATAAGGCTGACGGAAGTTTTGGAAACATCTTTTTCTTTCTGTCCCTTTACTAATGAACACTTTTGGAATAAATCTAAAACCATTCTCTTCTACGCATGCCATCTCCACCATCCTGCTCGAATTCATTTATCAGAGCACATCACCGAACCTATCAGAACATCACTAGATCAGTATCCAATGACCAAGAAACTACCAAAGGAATTCCCATAAATGTGCATAATCCTTGCTTAAGGAAGAATCAGTGACTTTGGGAGTGAGGGTGGTTGGCCTCCTGGGCAAAGACGCTAACAGGAATCTGAAAGAATTTACCTTGCGAGAAGCTACCACCAATTCTTCAGAAACACTCCCAAAATTCAAAGAATGTCTTTCAACCTTTTTGTATGTTTGAAATATTTCGTGATAAAATGTTGAACAACAACCAAAAGGACAAGCAGAGAAGATGAAACTATTATAATACCCTCAAAAACTTCAATTATAAAATTAACTTACCAATAATAGATTTTTATCAGCACCGAAGGCCACAGGAAAAACAAGGCTACAAATGCCAGGATTGGGATGGCCAGCGTCCCGCCCGCGATCACAAACATGTTAACCACGTCAAGATCCATTCTGCTCTTTAAGGCTAGCTGGCACCTGCAGGGGCTGCAGAGAATGACAGTATTGAAACTCTGTCTCAAGAGAAAAGGTGAAGAAGCAAGGGGGAAAAGAAAAGCGAAAGACCCAGAATAAGGGTAAAGATGAGGAGGAACAAAAGCAGGCAATTGCTTAGAAAACTAAATAGGCAAGACAAATACCTGCAATGAAGACTTCCTGGATTTTATTTTCAGCTACAAAAGAAATTGTTAGAACAATTGGAGAAATCTGAGTAAGGACTGGATATTAGATAATATTACTGTATCAGTGTTACAATTCTTGAGTGTGACCGTGAAGTTGTGGTTACCTTTGCATGTAGGAGAATGTTCTTAGGAGGTGTCTGCTGAAGTATTAAGGGGTGAGGTATAGTGATATCTGCTACTCACTTTTAAAAGTTGAGGAGAGAAAAAAATAGTGTGTGCGTGCATGTGCGTGTGTGTTGGTTGGGGGAAAGGAGAGAGAAATAAAGCAAATATGGTAAAATGTTAACCATTGGTGAATCTAGGTGAAGGTTACATGGCAAACTTCAACTTTTCTATAGGTTCTATAGGTTTAAAAATTTCTATAGCAATTTTTTAAAAATTAAAAGTTAGGGAGGACATAGGACCTTTAAAAAAATGAAAAAATATACAAGTACACATGAATGCTTGCATTCACAGAGAATATCACTGAATGGCTGCACATGAGACTAGTAACAGCAGCTGTTACTTCCTTCTTATTTCCTGTGAAATGGAGAGATCTGTCCCCCATATCTCTGTCAACTGATATGTATTCCAATTTTATAATAAACTCATAATGGCACAGCATGACCTCACAATCACTGAGCACAGGGATAGGCAAACATTTTCTGTAAAGGGCCACAAAATAAGTATTTTAGCATTGTGGGCCATTGGGTTTCTGCCACTACTGCTGGATCTGCCGTTGTAGTAAAAAAGCAACCATATACAACACGTAATGAATGAGCATAACTGTATTTCAATAAAACTTTATTTTAAAAAATAGGCTGCAAGAGAAATTTGGTCTGTGGGCTGTAACTTACCAATCCTTGACACAGTACACCAACCCTGCGAAATAGGCAAAGGGTATTTTATCCCCTGTTTTATAGGCTGAGGAAATAGGCTCATAGAAGTTACTTATTTGTGCATGGGCATTCATCTGGTAGAGTCATAATTATGCAATAGATTTCTGACTTGGACCCACTCCTATTGCACCAAGCTACCAAGCTCCACTTTGTCTTTTTTTTTTTTTTCCAAATGGCCTTTCCCCAATCTTTGTAACCTCTTTGCTATTAAATACCCACACTTATCTCCCCTAATTTCTCCACGACGATGTGACAGCTCCATTTAGATGTCTTATCTCTTATAAGAGATTTGGAGAAAGAAATCCCTCAATCGAGAAGGAGAGACAGAAGAATGTATCAGTGGGTCAGATGGTTCTTTTCAGTTATATATGCACACTTTATCTGGGTGCAGTCCCGAGTGTACAAGAATGAAAGCTGCTACCTTATTGGACAGAAGCACTATATTGCGTTTCTGATTCAACTGCCCTCTCAGTTTCTCAGTCATGGGGGGAAAAAAAAAAGTCACTTTTTCCAGCGTACCTAAATCATTGTTCTGTTTCTCCTTCTACAACCAGAGCTCCTCAAAGGAAAGGACAATCATATGTTCTTCCTCAGTGACTAGAATAGCACAGGACACAAATAAGGTGCAAACGAACTAATGAAAAGCAAAGTTACAAAATGGGCTCAATCCTGTTCGTTTTAAGGACAACCATTCACAATGATGTTGTAAGAGACTATTTTCCTCTTTCACTAATTACAAAACTCCCAGAGGAGTCACCTATTTAACACTGGGAGCAGGAGAACACTAAGTAATGCTTCAGCGCTACACAGCATTACATAACACTGACATGCTACAAAAGATATACAAGTTATCTTTTCAGTTTTTTTTTTTCAGTCCTGCCTAGGTCAATGAGAAACTCCGTGTAATTAAACAGCTCTCTAACTCTTAAGCCTCCTGTGGGCAACAACATTTAGCTATTTAATACTATTGTTTCCTTGTGTTGATTTTTATGGATACTTCCGATTTATAGTAGGGATGGAAATTAATTTATTTTTTTAATTAATTTTTTAAGTTAATTTAAGGTAAAAGAAGGAATCGATTAAAAAAAAATGCTAACTAGGCAATACACAGATCTGGTGAAAATCATGATGGTGATATACGAATGGCTACCACTGGGGCAGATTGGCGTGACGCACAGGCAGGCTGAGAGGGGCAGGCATTCTACCTGGCTCTCTCCAGCCAGGTTCTTCCACACACCAGCTACGAGACCTCGGTTTCCTCATCTATTAAATGAGAACTTATATCCAAATCATTTGTCTTTTCCGACCGTCGCGACTTTTAAAATGTTTCTAAAATTATGCCAGCAATTACAGAGTAGAATCTGGCATGACCCCACAAGAATCTTGTTCTCTGTTATATTCTCCCAGAACATAAAACAGAACTTGGCAAATTTGTTGCTTGATAATGCTTATTGCCTGAATAGATTTAAAAGAAGAATGCACTCATTTTGCGTAACCGTTGTGTAAAGTGAGGCACCCCAGTGTTAAAGACAGAGATTTCGGTGGATTTGCAGCACAGTGTGAAGCCAGGCGAAGTCAAGAAGGACAGCTGACTGTCATGGTACCAGGGAGGACAACCCATTCTCACAGCCTAGGCTGGAGCTTGCTACTAGGCCTCCTCCTGTCAATATCCAAGCTGTGCATTCAGGACCTTTATCTCTAAACACAGGGACAAAGATTAATTGGATAGAGAATACATTGCATCTCATGTTCCCAAGTTTAGTCTGGTACTAGGGGTAGGGCATAACGTGTCACGATGTTCTCATAAAGTGTCTTTTAATGTTCTCAGATTTTGGAAATTGGGAATCCTGAGTCCCAACACCTTAGTATTAGGGTATAAGCAAAATTCCAAGAATGAATAGAGTATAAATACTTTCATAGAATCTTTCCTTTCTCCAGATATATACACATATTTCATCAAATCTGACAAACTAAAGTCCTGGTCTCTTCAAAACAATAATTATTATAATAGCAATAATATAATAATATTAACCATGCAATAATAATAACAATAATAACCATGACCACTACCACCATAGCCAAAGATATAAGAGCGACAGCCACCTCTATTAACTACATACTGTAGCCAAGCCCTGCATAGGCAGTTCATATATATCCTCTCACTTTATCCCTCAAATAGCATGAGGCAGGAAGCGTTTCTCCGATTTTAAAGATAGAGAAACTGAGACTTAAAGAAGTTAATAAATTCCCCCAACATTGCCTAGTTAGGAAATGGTATGCCTTACATTTCAGCCCAACCCTGTAGGTGTCCCTGGGTCATGCTACCTTTGCCTTCTCTCAGTGCTTGCTGTAAACAGGTACATATGTTGCATCGGTTATGAATGTCCTCATCGACATTCTTTGCACTTCCCTAGAACTGTTTAAAGAGCAACTTTACAAGTTATCAGTGAGCTTATTACTTTATTAAAAAAAATATCCAGTCCCTTATAATTTTTTTCCTTTAGTTCTGTGATGTAAAAATTCTTTCCACATTCTTCTCCACTAGGAAAACACTACATTCTGGAAATCTGAGTATAATATCCTAGCTGTTAAATATTGTTGCATCAATCCAACACTAATTTCAGAACCAGGTTCTTATAAAGATAAACCGATTACTCAAAAGTATCACTACTTATCAACAGCTGAAATAGACACAAAGACGGTAAGATTCTCTTGTGTAGAAGCCCCAGAATTGATGAGACAGAATAATTCGAGAAATGGGCAATTCTAACTCCTTTTCATATATATCTTCTCCATCATGGAGGAAAATCACACTGAAATTTCCAAGCAGGAAGCTAAGCTTGCCCAGTCATCACTGAAAGTGTGGCACAATCCCAAAACACTGCCATAAAGATATACATCTCTGCCCTCTGGACCTTATTGCCTCCCCCTTACTCTGGCTGAGCCCATTCCTCCTCTGTACTTTGCATCTCTAATAGCCCTGCTGTTGAAACAAGCCATGGCTGTGAGCACACTTGGCCTGGGTCCTGAGATGCTCTCCCTTTTCTCTCCCCAGAGTATTATAATGCTCTCCTCTGTCTTCTTTGGAGAGCTCTCTATTCCTATATCCCCCACCACTCCTTCTTGCAGGGAATTCAAAAATCAACATACCAGGATATCCTTCCTGAGTTTTCCAAAAGCCTGTTTGACCACACCCGTGACCCAACAGTTGTACGACGTCTCAGACATGTCTTCCCCTTCTCCCGATTCACTCATTTCTGCTGACAGCATCCCCATCAGTCTAGTCTCCCAGACTCAAATGCGTCTTCCACTCTTCCCACTTGCTCCCCACGATGGTGGAGAGGTGCCAGCACTGGAGCTGACTTGTCCAGTCTAAACAAACTGCATTGTTTGATGCGTGACTGTTTAAATTTATGTCATGAAATAAAGTTTGAAGTTCAGTTCTTCTGTCACACCCATCACATGTTAATTGTTTGATAGCCACATATGACCAGAAACTACCCTACTAGACAGCACAGTTTAGGGGCTTTACACCCCTGAGAGCCTTTTACAACCAATTCCTTCCATGACTTTGGTTCAAATGTTGGGTGGGAAGAAAAATTCCCACCAGGTGGGAGACTTTGTATGAGTCAGACCACACACAGCTCCCTCAGCCACCACGTGGCGGTTCAGGTCCTCGCCTCTTGCTTCCATTTCTGTACACGTTACTCTTTCACAGCCCACTTCTTCTACCACCAGCTGCCAGAGGAATCTTCCCAATTCCCACAAGAGATTAGGCTGCTCTGATCTAATGTAAATCCTGACCATTCCATATGATCCCAACTCGACTCCTTGGTCTGGATGCCCACATCTCTGCCTGAACCCCAGATAACCAACTCTTGCCCTCATGCAAGCCCCACACAGCCTCCTGTTTTGTC